TTACAAATAAATGGACAACGGGTCTAATACAAAAACCACGAAAAAAATGTCCCAAGTCAACCTATTCGAAATTTAAATTGTAATGTCATCGCAGTATCGCGCTGTCAGTCGAACAAATGAAGACTAAAGCGGAGTTTGGCGCTCTGTATACGATTTTAGCGCCTTACAAGTACACTTTTTAGCGCGGACCCGACGTCCATATAATTGTAAGTCAATGGAAAGAACGAATGATTTTCCAATATTGTCTATTCCTTACTAAAAATAGGAAAGAAATAACGCTATATGAACTGTATAATGCCATCTCTTTCTTTTTCGATGTTCCGAATCGTGTTATCGTAGTATAATGTTAAAGTACTTAATGTTATTTACATTCAGATAATTTTAACTGCCAAAAAAAGAAAAGTATGTAATAATGAAATCTATTAAAATTACGTTCATTTCAATTATTATTACGCATTTTCATGAAGAAAAATAAATAAAACAAGCGGAGTTTCGCCAAGGAGCATATAGATGGCTCTGTCATAATTTTACGAAATAAACATCGCGTATTTTTATTTACGAGAAATTATTTCCTATGTGTATTAAATAAAAAATAGACAAAATGAACTGTAATTAGTGGTGATTACAATAGACCAGCTGATGGTCACAATGATGAGGGGCTCCATATGCCTTGAATGAATCCACCCTAACAATAATATTCACTCACTCACTCACACGCTCAAAAAATATTAATATCGATTAATTTCTTTCGTATAATCTTTTTACCTTTCCCCTGAAAAGTTTTCATTTTGCAGATGTGGCCTTTTTACACACCAAGAGTGTGGACGTATTGATATCAAATATGTATCTTCGAATTCCAGATACGCCCCCCGCCATCCGATTCTGAAGAAGAACAATCAATGAAGAAACGTTCTACAAAAGCTCCAAGAATGAAAGTGACCCCTGTCACACCCCTAAGGGAGACTCCAATTTTTGAAAACGACGAATCTTTTGGAGCTGCTACTAGCGTCGATCAGTTGTCGACACCTTTGTTTATGAAGGTAAGCAGACAAGACCTGTGCTCAGAAGTGGGACGCGCACAGTACTGAGAGAAAAAAACACGTTTCAATTCTTCACCAAAGATTGTAATATTAGAATTTGAGTGTTGCCTAATAAGACTTAAAATGGAAAAGAATTTCTGTAACCACGTCATTGTCGATCGTGTAATGGTGGGTCCACATTATGACGTTTCAACCATAGACCTAGAATTACGCGCGCTACGCTGGAAAGTAGTTTCAACGCACCGTGACTCCGTGACATGCCACGGGTACTTTGGCAAGATTCCACCATACACCACACTTCATATTATTTCGATGAATGCCAAACAAACGCTACAGAACAACAAACCAAAGAGATAGATAGATTTCTCATATACGGGGCTACGGCTAAAAAGTTGTTAAAAACCAGATACAAAGATCGGACAAACAAGCACATAGAAAAATTCGTGAAAACCGCTGGTTCGTTCCGTGGCTTAGTTATACGCATAGCGTCTGGCACGGTTTGCTGGAAGACGTCGGTTCGAATCCGGCCGGATCGAAGGGATTTTTCTAAATGTTTCATCTTTGTATTAATAATTATAACAAAGAGATTTTGATGATGAGAATATTTTTTTTATGCATAAAGCAAAACAAAACCTTAAACTAATTACAATATAGCCTTTTTACAAGACTAATAAGTAATATTAATTTAATTTTAACATAATATTCTAAAATAAATGTAAGTTATTTAATAGAAATTGTCCATCGACATATCTTTTGATATTAGTTACGGGGAAGACACTTCGCTCTAGTGTTCATAGTCTTATTAACACTGGCACTAATGTTTATTTTATTCAATAGAAAATAACTACGCTAACTCAAAAGAGATATAATAGAATTGGCCAAGTACCGCATATATTTTAACCGATCAAGACTTGTTAAGTTAATTAAGTCGTGTAAGACTTTTAGGCCAATTTAACCAATCAAGAAGCAGTATAGTGTTTGATAGCGTTTGAATTGAGTTTTTTGAAACTTATAGTTCTGTTTACACAACTTAAATGAAAATTTTCAGCTCAGTGGCGAGTACCATAGACAAATAGAATTTTAATTCAGAACTAAAAAGAGCGCCTTTGTGATATAGTTTATGAAATTGTAATTGACAGTTTCTGCCCACGATTTTGGCCGGAAACGTTTTAAAACACCATGGGTGGGTTGATTGAGTGTTAACCCACTGCCCGTCTCCGGTTGTTAGTATAAAACGCAGAACACACCGATAGCGAAACTAAACTAAGTTATCTTAGCTCACATAGCTGCATGCAATCAACTACGCGTCTTAGCTCGGTTAGGTTACTTCGCGGTGTGAACAGATATATGGTACTATGCCACTGCTACGTGAACTAAAGCTAAGTTAGCTTAACTTCCCTCGTGGTGTGGCCTGCGAACGTCGTGTATATAACCAGAAATAGAGACAAAATAAGGGCTATCCAGCCCTGGCAGCAAATCATCAGGCAAATACGCCTTATATCACTTTTAAATATCAACTCGCGTTTGCGCCGAAATCACAAATTAGAAAGCTGAAATACTACAGCGCCAAAATATTCTGTATTTATTGTAATAAAGATAACATCGCTAACAATGGAGGCTGTACCATTCGGTGGAGTGGGAAAAACAGCAAAACATCTAATTATAAAACAAATGGAATCACATTTCATCGGTAATTAAATATGTAATTTTGCAATTTTCGCCCATTATAGCAAAGTTCAAGTTAAACTGATCGGTTTGAAGTGACACAATTCACGACACCCGCCAATTGTTTCGAATTCGGGCTGGCCAATCGGAGCGCAGTTGTCACAGTAATGATTTGGCAGAATAGTTTTCAAACAAATTAAATGACAATTTATCTCTATTTCTGGTTATATACTTGATGCCAGCGAAGTGGTTACTATTTTTCAAAAAAGTCTCTGTAAGTCAATTATGGAAAAAAAATGTTAGTTGGCTCCTTTTCCGTATTAATTCATAAAACTATTAAAGGTTTTTTTGACAAACACTTTGTTTCTCGCTCTGCAGATGTACAACCTCGAACGTTCAAAAGACGCTCCAGATCTACACGCCGCACAGAACATGGAAATCCAAATCAAAACGGAGCCAATCGATAATGAACCTTCAGTCAGTTAAACTGAGTATTGTGTTCGATATGAGTATTTATGTAATGGGGTTGTATTAAGTGGGGGCCCCTGGGTAAATTAAGGCCTTTTTGAAAGCTAAAAATGTACTTCATTCAGGCGCTGGGTCGTCTTAAGTAGAAGGACCTCGATATAAATGGTAATAGACCCCTTTCATAAGCCAAAAGCATATCTGACTTATGTGCAGGGCCGTCTTTAGTTAATGGTCGAAGGTGAGGTGTCCCTTTTGAAAGCCAAAAACTACTTGAAAACATCAACTGGCAAAATCATCAAAAGGTTTTCAACTGAGGACCCTAACTGCATCACGCAGCAAATTATTTTGTGAACTTGTATTCGGGGGCTCTTCTGAGTATGGGGCCTTGGTCCAACGTGCCGTGTCAGGTACGGGGAGGGCCCTCCTATGGTATTTCCCTAAATGTGAAGTGGGTATTGTTGTATGTGTACACTTATGTAGATGACATGTAGCATGGGAACAAGGGATCGTAAAACTTTGCACTTGTCAATAAAAATAAATATTTGTTTATTGTGTAAATAATGGTAAGCACTTTATGGATAGTTCTTTATGTTGCTTCGTATAGGAGTGTGAAATGTGATAAAAGTCGACTTAAATCTCACTTGGAAATTTTAAAAACTTGATAGTTCTGATTCTTCGGAAATTTCGCGGCACTATGTACAATTTTTTGGCAACACGGACAAGATTTCTCACAGATGAGGCTACGGTAAAACAGTCGTTAAAAACCAGAAACGAAGATTAGCAACAAGCATATAGAAAAATTCGTAAGGTCCGCTAGTTTGTTCCGTGGCTGTGACATAAGTTGACTAGTCCCATGTGCCGGTAATTTCACCGTCACCCTTAATCCTTTAAAACTGGAACGCGACGCTACCTTGACACACATAAGCGCGCATTTGAGCTACTTAAGTAGCGATACAATCGAGATGCAAACGCGATGCACATTTTTATGTTATTTACATCGATACAACCGCCTATAAATTCTTAATGTCGCGAAGCAATTACGCGTGTCAAAACGTCGCCGTGTCTCTAATGTCTGGCTCTAAAGTCAGTTGACCATATTAAATTAAGATCCCAATATAATTAAATTTATATCTTTGAGATTTAGGTTGGCATAATATTAAAATTTGTAATGTTTATTGCTGCTTTGCCATGTAGTCTTTTTTTTAAGTTACATAAAGTTCATATTAAGCGCTTAGGTTAGGAATTAGTGTTGTATGTATGAACATGATATTGGCAATGTTCCTGTAAAGCACATTTTTTTTAATAATCTGACGGGCATTTTTGTAGTCAACAAACTGCCAGACTGGTAGATAGTCACCAAATAATGCTAGATTTCCATGATAGGGCTCCCTACCCTTCGACGATGGAACACGGCGTTGCAATATTACAAATGGCGAAAGGACCTGTGTGAACAGGTCCAAATTGGCACAAATGAGGCCACAAGTTACCTAAAAGCTGACGTGTCAAATAAGATGACACCATTTTTCAAATGTAACAATTAGTTTATTTTTAAGAATGTTCGCAAGTGATTAGAACAATTTTAATCATTGTATGTTAATTTGTGCTCATAGTGGACTGTTTAAATTTTAAAATACTGTATCCTTATGTACTGTACATTCCAGCTGATAATAAGACAAAAATGTCACTAGATATCGCGTGAGACACGAAAATGTGAAATAAATAATTTTGTACTATAAAATCATCGGGTTTTATTGAAAATGTTGTGCTCTTTTTTAATATTAAGTATTAGACAACATCAACAATATAAAAGAAATTAAAAGTTAAAAGGCCACGGCAGACTGGACAAAATACCCGCCATGTTTAATGCAATCAACTTGCAGTTATCGATGTTGTAACTATTAATAATGTCATAATGTGTATTATTAAATAAATATAAATATTAGAGAACATCACTTGTTGCTTTGGTCCCCAGGTAAGTAACTAAAGCACTGGTGTTATGTAAATCAGAAACAACGACGGTACCACAGACACCCAGACCCGAGACAATATGGAAAATTTAGTTTTCTACATTGGTGATCGAACCCGTGACCTCTGAGACGCCTACGCCTACACCTTGACAACCGGTGTGCTGCCCACTCGACCGCGGAAGTCGTCAAAACTTTTACTACAGTATCTTCAGGGAAAATGCTGATAAAAAGGTACTGAAAAAAAATCTACATCAATTTGTATTTTATTCACAACAACAAACCACTCACGTCTAAAAATGATTAATTAAAGGTATAAACATGACTACGTTTACGCAGTCATGGTTAACTTTACGAAAATAACCATTAATAAAACTTTTGTTGAGTTTATACGTTCTTATATAAAAAAAAACTGACCGTTAATATATTTTCGTTCACATTAAAAAAATCAATTTGAATGTAAAATATCTTCAGCAACCTTTGTAATTTTAATCTCACTAAACTTCACCTCCAGTCCTTCCCTAGTGGGGCTACAAGCCATAGGCCCCACTAAGTACGGCCCTGGCTTAGCGAACGGAGCCAGTCGCAGTAGCACCCAGGTTCGATTGTCTGTGGAATATTTGACGCATAATACGTCATCCTTTTTGGTAAGACGGAGATAGAATTTTTTTGGGTTTCCGGGAAATTCACCTGCAAACAAAATTTGCGTATTATAGCCATAGATTTAGTATATAGGTATTATAGCCACCATTTTCCTTTTATGATTCCCTATTAAAAATGTCTATCAAGACGACCGTTTGATAAAATGAACTTGATGATTAAGAATTCTTATGGTGAACTATTTTAAATTGAAAACCATCTGAAAACAATTGAAAGTTCACCGTTACCACAGATAGTACAATACTATACTACCGTTACTATTTATCATAAGATTGTTTTTTTTTTTTTCATAAATCGATCACGTATGCGAGGATTTTAAAATGGAAATGTTTTCGCAGTAAAAAGCGATTAGCTCATTTAAAATTTATTTTTCAGAGCATTTATTACTACCCAAATTGTTTTAATCTATGTTCATTTCATAGCTCAAAATAAAATGTTCTCACGTCCTTTAACTTTCAAACTCGACCTGCGTATGTTTGCCTTAATGCAATGTTGCCAGATGGTTACATTTTTCATAACTGGACTCTCTGGAGTTTTAATAATATTTTTAAGATCTTTTAAATTGAAGTATGTTTATTATTCTAAATACAGAGTTTACGAACGCACCCAAAAATGTAACTCAGTGTTAGAGCAAACAAAATAAAATCTATAAATTTTACATACATACAGATACAGGCGTATATAATTACATAAGTACCTACATAGTTAATACTTAGACTTATTGATTTTAAAAAAACGACAATGTAACTTTTGCGTCAAGATTGTATCTTTTCATGTAAAGAAACGTAATTTTCGGTTATAGGACTATGGCAACACTGCCTTAATGAGAAAACCAACGTAATAGTCTGTGAGAAAACCTATTGTATTACTTTATCACAATTCGTTAATTTAATACTCTAAATAATATTTTAAAATTCTGCTTTGCACTAAAGCATTAAGCAACAATACGAGATTGCACCTGATAGTAAGGCGTTTACGTAGTCTTTCGCCTTTGCCCTTACCAGTAGCCCAATCGGAAATCTCGTTGGTAAGCACGCTGCTTATCATAGGCTGTCCATCATTGTACTCAATGCCAGTTTTCAGCCAGTGCTTTTCATCTAGGTAGATCATCAGACCAGCCTGATCGTAGAGCGACGTGAAATTTGCTTCTACACACACCTGAAAAAAAAAACTAATTTTTGGAACAACAAAACGCGTTGTGGTAACTCTTCAATTCAATAAATTTCCGGTGTTGCCAAATTTTTAAATCATCAGTCACTGATCAATATTATTAGTATAAAAAAGCTAACCTAAATACAAACGAATAAAACAAAACAATAAAACAAATGTAAATAAAGCCATTATAGTATTAAAATAAACATTAAGAAGGGAACCTAAATTATACAATCTTCATAGAAAGCTATACATTTTAATGTATAGCTTTCTAATATGTGTAATTGCGATGCCTAAACTAGGTAAATGTGTACCTGTATTTTAGGCAAATTTCTTTATATTACAGCTTAAAAACAGATTTTCTATACTTAACAATGAAATAATTATGAAGTAGTTACTGATTAATGGGTAGATATATAAAAATAGTTATGAAACAACCTCCAATTAAGTAGCAGTAGAGCTGCTCGTGAAAGAGCTCGTTCTTGGAAATGCTGCCACCTTACTTATTTCCTCCGCCAAGCAATAATGTGAGCATTACTGCATTCCTGTTTTGAAATTATATACACATGTGACTTGTCAACATATGTCTCATGTTGACGGGTGCAGTGCCCATCAGATTTTTGCGATTTAAAGTTCTGACTAGCAATGCAACTGTTATGGACTTGGTCGTCCCGTTACTTAGGGTCGTATTCCAGAGCTCTACTCAGTGCTCAAGTCAGGACTTGAGTATGATTTCAAGCACTGGAAATACAACCCTATTGGCAACGACTTGAGTATGATATCTAGTTCTATAAATTGTGGAGGTGCTGCTGGTGCTGGGTGCGTTCTGGTGGATTGTAATGGTGTGTAGCCTGGATAGCAGTAATAGCCTCCGCAGCTTCGCAGTCTCCAACGTCTTATTTAGTAAATTTAGCTTGAAAGTCCAGTTTATAGATATTTAATCGGTTTTAACAAATATAATCTTTAAAATGTAAACTGTATAAATATAGCTAGTAAACAATTCAAAAAGATAAATAATGGTATGTTCGCTACCGCGGTCGCGCAGAGAGTGACGATGGAAAGAAAGAAAATCAGAATGCGAGGTAAAATGGAACAATTTTAAATTTAAATATGAGTAGAAGAAGAAAAAACGATACGATACGATGGTATGACGGTATAAGGAGGTCACACCGTCACAAAATCATACTCAAGTCCTGACTTGAGCATTGAGTAGAGTTCTGAAATACGACCCTATGTATCATAAAACAATACTTACTGTAAAAGTGAAGTTATAATTCAGTTTTATTCCAAAAACGTGTCCAGAATTTGGGTAATAATGGTAATAAGTTCCCTGCCAAAAGTCGGATTTATTATCCGTAGTTAAGTGAAGTATGTTATTTGTAACTTCCCACTTTGATGGCGCGTTGAACCATTTGAAATCAGATAGAGTTATATTTTCAAACGCGGGCGCCATTATGCTGTTCTGAAGCCACAATAACGAATTATGTGCACAACAACAAATTTATTAGTTAATCTTAACCGTGCCGGGTTAATTATTAGTGTTTATTCTAGATAACACTATTTTATAGTAATTACTAGCCATAAATTATTAATATGGCTCATAATTATGATATTACATTAAGTTAATTTGCCAATTGTATCTTACGCGAAAGAGTTGAGAACATAATGTAGGGGAGAGCGGGGCTGAACGTTCCGATTTTCAAATAAGTTGAAATTTTATACTGAAAATGAAGGATTTGTTTTTCAACATGTGGAAATGTTGAACAAATGTTTATCGCTTCTTGTAATAGTATAGTCGCTTATACTAATATCTCAATAGTCTTTTTCATAGAGGCAAATTTTTGACAAATTTCGGAGCGGAACATTCAGCCCCGCTTTGGGGCGCGTAGTTCCGCTTTTGATGCAAATTGTTCCGCCTAAATTATCACAGGATAACAAGGATTTTCATAAATAAAACAACCTTTTTTAAAATTGTACGTATGTAATGTTTATATTATGCACAACTAACTTAAAAAAACAACTACATTCTTATTCATCAGTAATATTATTCATAGCTCATTTCTTCATCTTAATCACAATTGAGACACACATAAGTGACTCTATCATCTTATCTAAATATTTGAAAAGAGCCCCTTTGTAGTTTCGCATCCTTAAAACAAAGAAAAATGGTCATAAAATTTTTAAGTATGATTGCAAATCAATTGGGGAAGTTGTTCCTAGGAACAACCAGCCCCTCGAGGGAGGAACTTATAGCGCCAAATTACGTTTTTATACGAAGGCTGACATACCGGCAAAATAATAGACAATGAAAAAAATACTCAAACAGTAAGATTTACTTTACCTTACTAATGTCACTACGATTTGGAAAAGTTACGTATGAATCGGCGGAAAAAAATGTACTTACCTGATGTTTTGACAGCTCCATGCACATAGCCATACTTCCGTCGTCGCCGGAGTAACTGAAATGGCTGCCGAGAATGTGCATCACCTGACGCTTTAACGACGTGTTTCACATGTATATTGCTATACATTTTTCTTGCAAAGTTATTGCTGTGAGAACAACTTACCCCGGGAACTACCAGCCCCGGTCTCCCCTACATATCTACTATAAAATGTGTTTGTACTTCGGTTTATGAGTACCTACTTATGTATTTACCTGTCTAATATAATTATTATTTTAAAATCTGACACCCATTTAATCCGGTAAAACAAATGTTTAGTAATTATAGCATTCAAAATAATAATGTAGAAAAAAAATTATAATATGCGTTACATTGGTTTTGCGCTGATAACCTCAAATATACTTTTACTTTTTTTTATTCAGAATACAAACCACTTACAAGTACAAATCAAAAGAATGTTCTGATGTATTGAATTTTTATTTAAAAAATAAGTACGTTAATTAGAACGTAAAATGTCATCAGCATTATCTGTAATTTTAATATCGCTGAATTTCACTTCGAGGCCGTCCCTGGTGGGGCTACATGCCATGAGTCCCACTAAGCACGGCCCTGTCTTAGTGAATGGGGCTAGCCGTAGTAGCACCCAGGTTTTATTGTCCGTGGAATATTTGACGCATAGTACATCATCCTTTTTGGTGAGACGGAGATAGAATTTGCTTGGATTTCCGGGAAATTCGCCTGTAAACAAAATTAGCCAATATAGTTGCCATATTAAAAATATCTATCTTATGCCCTATTAAAAATATCTATATGATGAGTGAATCGTCATCATCCAACTTAAGAGTTTGTAATTCTTTTGTCGGTGGAGCATCTTCCTGTCATCTCTCCTACAAGCCAGCTCCTTGACCTCTTTATACGACACGACACCGGCCTTTTCCCTAATTTGGTCTATGTAACTGCGCCTAGGTCGACCTCTTCCCTTCTTCCCCTGGATCTTTCCCTCCAAAATGGTCTTAAAGAAGTTGTCGTGTCGTATCAAATGTCCAATAATTTTCCTGCGTCTATACTGTATAGTATTCAGGATCGTTCTTTTCTCGTTTACCATTCTCAGTACTTCCTCATTGGTTTTCTTTTCTGTCCAACTTATGCCCTTCATTCTCCTCCAGCACCACACGTCAAAAGCTTCTAATCTTTCCCTATCTCTTTGTGTCCATGTTTCACATCCATAAAGTGCAATACTCCAACCTTTAGTTTAAATTGAAAATCGTCGGAAACTTTTTTTTTTTATTTAAATTATACATTGTGAGTTTAGTGTCACCCAAAACACTCACAAAGCTAATCGTAAATACATATGTATTATAATTGAAAGTTCACCGTAAGTTCTTGTGTTAAGATTGTTTTTATCATCAGTCGATTAAGCAGGCGCGAGGTGAGATTTTAACAGGGATTATGGGATTTACGAAACTCGCTGTGAAAAGCAATTTAATGCAGACATAGTACATACTGGTTTGCTATTCAAAATCTTATTGTTGTTATTGCAAAGATCGAACAAACATAAAGAAAAATTCCTTCGATCCGACTGGACACGAACCAGTGTCTGTTGCCTCACCGTGGCAGCTTTAGCTATGATCTTTCTATCAATAATAATAAGAAACTTGTGGAGTATTTTAACAAAAAACATCTTTTTATATGCAAATGTAAGTGCGTATTTAACCACCATCTCACCAGATGGAAAGTAACGACAAGGTCGACGATGTAGCATGCACACCTAAATAATGCCTATTCACTCTCGCCTTGAGAAGGTCCAACTTATAACGTTTAGGGAACAAGTTTGAAGGCAGGGAATTCCACTCCATAGCCGTTTGCCATATGAATGTAGAAACGTAACACTTCGTGCTAATCTTTGGAACATCCACAGCATATTGGTGGAATCTAAAACTGCGTCTAGTCCCCCGATGATTGAAAGGGGAAGGCGGAATTAAATCGTGTAATTCCAGCGCACTCTCGCCGTGATATATCCTGTAAAATGCCGATAAGCAGAAAACTTTACGGCGGTGTTCAAGGCTCTGTAGCTTCGCCTCTACTAATTCCGTGTCACCTATAAGCCTCTAATGAATCCAATCATTCAATCATATATCAATATCATAGTAGTAACAACAACATAATGTTCTGTAAAATAATTATTTATAATAATAATAGTCGGAAAAAATCTTTATGTGCGACAATGAATACGTTATAATTGGAAAAAATGGCGTCGTGATCTACTAAATTTTCTCTTACCAGAAGCCCAATCCGAAATCTCATTGGTAAGCACGCTACCAATCACAGCCTGACCATCGTAGTATTCAATACCACTTTTAAGCCAGTGCTTTTCGTCCAGGTAGATCATCAGACCTGCATGATCGTAAAGCGTTGTGAAATTGGCTTCTACGCACACCTGAAATTTATAACAACTCGTAAAGTTAGTTAAACTTCTCAAATGCTTCATGACAGATTATAAATGTCCAAGTGTGTGGCTTTTTGTATAACCCTTGTTGGCGCTGCGGCGCGCCACTGATGTAGACATGTGAAAGGGGCAGAAGGACGCGAGACCGCCGCCGCCCGGCCGCCGACATTAAACGCGTACCAGTTACCTACTGTTCATTTCTAATATTTTAGTTCAAATTAACTTGCTGTTATTTAAGTAATTGCCTGCGCCGACAACCTGTGATGCCACAAATGAATGAAATATAAATTTGATACGTAAATCATAAATCGCACGTTTTGGTAACTTTTTTATTCAATGCTACTTTTTTAGAATAATAACGCATAGAAACCTAGTCCGCACACGCTAAGTGAGGCAAATTGAAGCGCGCCTAAAGGGCCTACACGAGCGGGCGGGCCTTCAGTGCTCAAGGTCAACTTGCACCACGAACAGCTCAAGAATTTTAGCTAAAAATGACGAAATGTGCGGTAAATGAGTGTAAAAATGCGTCAGACAAACATAAAATAGACACTAACATGACATTCCACAAGGAAGTAACGCGTTTCAACTTGTATTTTTATATAAATATTCACTAAAATCGAAAATTAACCTACTACTAAAACTAGCCTACATGAATTTGATTTTTGCCTCACTTGTGACAGTTCGTTTGATATGAAACTATCATTCTATGCGTTATTATTCTAAGGCTTCTTTAATATTCGAATATAATCTTATCAAATTGAGATTGAATCTTATTTATTGAGATAAAAAGTGCAAGATCAAAGTGAAATATTATATTGCTTCTATAATTATTGTTGCCATTTTTATTATTCGTTACGTTATTGTGAATTATTAAATAATATTTAACTTAAATGATGATAATTTCCATGTACAGTGAACTCTGATCCGAGATTGACTCAAGTATTGATGCGAGTTGTTGTAGTATAATTTACACTTACCGTAAAGGTGAAATTTTGGTCCAGGTTCACTCCAAAAACATGGCCATTATTATGTTTAAAATGATAATAAGTTTCTTGCCAAAAATCGGTCTCGTTGTCCGTTGTTACGTGAAGAACATTATTTGTAATTTTCCATTTCGATGGCTTATTCAACCATGTGAAATCAGATAAAGTTATATTACCAAGCTTTGTGAGCCCCATTATTATTACAGTGCGTGCAGAGCACACAGTAAGGAATTGTATTTACAAAAACAAAAATTATCGTAACACTTTATGGACGATTACTTTAGATAATTTTACGTAACGATGCGAGATAAAGTTATAGGCCACACGTTTTAAATAGGCAGCGATTATTTATCACCTATATTATACTTCATCAACATAGAACATTAGAGCTCATGACGTAAGTATAGGTACAGTTCTTTTTTAATGGGTTAGTATGGGGAAAACCATAGAAGATCTGAAATTCGACATTTTAAGCTGCTCCCTATTTTCAAAACCGGATTGCGTAAATATCATCACGGTCCTAGGTTGCAACGTGTATATTTATTAGTAAGTATAAATGTGTTTAGATATATTTATTTATACATATATAATAATATGTATGCGCGCGTATAGCGCTGAGAGTAGAACTCGTTTCCTTGCAACAGCGCTCGCTCTGATACGGCGGTAAATCGGTGGCTTGTATAACTTTTTGTTAACATTAATTGCGTGATACCTTCATTATATTTTCTTTTTTTTTCGTACATGGTTTACGTTTAATAAAATTGTTATTTTATACATTATGTTAGAGGAGTTGCAACACTCATACAAATCTGTTTAGGTTTAAGAATGTAAAGTGAAACCGTGTTAATGTTTTTGTAATTATTAAATAAATTAAAAAAATCGTGTAGGTATATGTCGTTTTTATTTATCAAGTATTTTAAAGTTATACGAGTATCTATCTATAAGGAAACTGTTTTAGGAACCTTTATTATTGCCTCTGTTGCCGAATGGTTACCATGCTGGTCTGCCAAGGTTCAATTCCCGGGACCGGGAGAAATATTTGTATGGCTTACATTGAATTTGGGTGTCATTTGTGGTTGTCTATGTGTGCCATGGACACCCATGGCACCCGCGATAAACGGTTTCCCTGGTGTGGGAATATGAATCTGTGCGTTATCATTGTCATATCCTATATTGTCCCTTCACGAAAATTCTTTTATCTAAGTGTCGTATGATCGTCTCTTCGTCATCAAAGTCGTGTCAATTCAAAAAGTTTTGTAAAGACTGGAACAAGGGAAAGTCTGAAGGGTCTATATCGGACGAATATGGTGGATGAGGTAATAGATTCCAACAAAAACAAAAACAAAGATGTGTGTAATTTGGCATTATCATGATGAATATGACACCAATACAATTCACCAGTTCTGGACTTTTTATTAATTACAAATTTTAAATTTTTGTCGCCTTATTCTTAAAATGCGCGCTTTATAAAATGGATTATTTTCACATTTTTATTTTGTTAATGGCATTATTTTATTAAAGAATAAAACTGTACAGGTCCGTTTTAGGTACAAATGAAACAATATATATATGT